CAGACGACATGCATGGATAGGCTGATTGCTTCTGTGCGCGTGCGTGTGTGTGTGAGACGCAAAGAGACGGTGTAGAGAGCGATGCAGCTCGTCCACTCTGGAGTGGCGTCTGTGATTTACCTCCTACACTCAGGCTGCAGCCTCTCAGCTGCCGTGTGAACCTCTGCACCAAAAAAGGACGACAGAGCCCCTCCCCCCTCCTTACCCCTCCTCCCCCTCTCCCCTCCCTCACTTCTTGGTGTAATAATTTTTCACACTCTACAGTTTACTCCTTTTTTTTCTCCTCCCAAAAACTCACTCACTTCATCCTTCTTCACTTTGTTGCTTCTCAAACACAGTTGTGTTCATTTCCTTACAGTAGCTCTTCTGCTCAGTCGTCTTCCCCCCCCCCCGACCCTCCCGACCCCCCTCCATATTCTCCTGCTTTGGTCATTTTGTTCCTCTTTATCATTTACTACTTTGATAACAAACACACTCCTAACTCGATCCAAACGGTTTCATCCTCAAAGTGACTCCGTGTCAGATCTGGGGTCAAAATTTAAACCTGTTTTTTTTTCAAACATCCAATGAGCCAATCACACGACGGCAGGTCCGGAGGTTCGAGCTGAGTATTAAAAACAGAAAAAGTAAAAACAGATTTGAGCGACTCAACGTGTCATGGTTGTCGGTGCCAAACGAGCCGGTCTGAAAAAAGTGCTGACGTTCAGGAAGTTTAAATCTCAGGAGGAAAAAAAAAAAAAGAGGAGAAAAAACCAAGTGAGCAGCAGTTCTCTGAGTATAAAGAAAAAAAAAGTTGGACTGGACTGAGCTGATAGGAAGGTGCTGAAGTATTTAAGAGGCAGCGCATCCGACCTGAGGGGCTGCAGCAGCAGAAGGAGACCACTGTGATGTCATCACTGTCAGCTGACCAGGACGAGGCCGAGGCCGCAGTTCATACAAACACCACCAGAACTGGACGATAAAAAAACAAACGTCGTCTAACATTAAAACTCAGATCCAGCCAATCAGGTGATAACAGCTGAGGTGTGAGTCCAGGGGTCGCTGACCTTCAACACCATGAAGAGACATTTGTAACATTTGACCATCAGATGGACGGGACTAGAATTTTTATTTTTAAACTCAAAAAAGAAAAAATGTATTTTTGTTTAATGTGTTTCAAAAACACAGGATGTAAAATATATGAAGAACGTGACATGATGTTGTTTTGCTGTTAGCAAGCAAGCCGACAGGTACGTGGTTTTTTTTTTTCTTTCAAAGTACTTTTCACGTACTGTCAGGCTGAATCTGGTCCAGGAGCCACAGGTTGAACACCTCTGGTCTAAACCAGTGATTTTTAGTTTGGTCAGACTGGTGTGTAGCTGTAGCTGCTTCCATTCTCCTGCCTGAGGTCAGCGCTCGCTGCTTCTCCAAGACTGGATTCATCATCATCATCATCATCGTCATCATCATCATCATCATCATTTCTGTTCTATTTTATTCGATTCTATAAACTGAGAGACTGAGGAGGAAACCAGGGCTGCACTGGCAGACTGTACCAGAATGAAGTGTGTAGTCCTCACAAAGACATGTGTACAAGAGCACACTGCCCTCCCCTCTTCCTCCCCCTCCTCCTCCCCCTCCTCCCATTATTCCACCTCTCAGTCATTCATTCTTTTTTTTCCCAATCTTTTTATTTCCCTTCTCTCTCCTCTTCAGTCATTTACTCCTCTCTATTGCTTCCTCCTCTTCCTTCCACTGCTGTCAACCCTCCCCCCACCTCCCCCTCACTCCCTCCCCCC